ATTGGGGTAATGACCTTACTATACCCTACAACACAAGGACTATAACAATTCATTCTAAATTTCTTGATGCCAAGGGAATCATCTGGTGGACATAGGGAAGAACCCACCTGCATTCAGTGTCTATGGACTCATACCATACAGAGTAAAATCTATATACCTTGTAGTCACCCTGTAGGACTGGAGCAGGGTCCCACAGTCCTAGGACTAGGGCTGTTGGTATTATAAGCCACAGCACAAAGTTGGACTCTCCTAGCAGAAGTCACACAGTCCTAGAGCCACAGCAATTGGCGCCATAAGCCCTGGCATGATGCAGGCTTGCCAGTAGGACAAGGGGGCAGCCACCTCTCTCTCTCTTAACACCAAGAACAAGGTCCTGACTATCACATTTGCCAGGAAGACTGACACTGAACTCTCTGTAGAACAAAGATGCACACCTAGTGAAATCCTTATTCATGTCAAAGCCACAATTCCTAAGGACTGCAGCAGACTAGACCACTGTGTCACTTATAGACACAACTGATACTAATACAAAAGAAACCACTCAGAGATGACACTCATGGGCTCACCTAGAACCAAAGACAAAGCAACAAGCCAAGTGATACTTTGCATTCTAGCTAAACCATAAATTCTTTTCTGATAAAACCTACACAATAAAAAATGAGTACACCAGATGGACACAGGAGACAAGAAGAATCAAGGCAGCATGATGCCTCCAAAGGAACACAATACTCCTCTAGAATTAGACCCTGAACTAAAGGAAATCTATGAAATGACAGATATAGAATTGAAAATAATGTTTATAAGGAAATTTAATGAGATGCAATAGAACACAGATAGATTAAAGAAATGAGGAAATCAATGAGTGACACAAGTGAAAATATTACTAAGGAGATAGATCTCATTGAGAAAAACCAAATAGAAATTTTTGAGGTGAATTCTTCACTCAGTAACATAAAAATATGATTGAGAGCTTCAACAGCAGAATAGGCCAAGTAGCGGAAAGAATTTCTGATCTTGAGGACAGGAATTTTGAAATAATCCAATCAGACAAAAATAAAGAGAAAGGAATCAAGAAAGTCTGCATGAAAATGGGATACCATTAAATGACCAAATGTTCATATTATAGGCATTCCTGAAGGAGGTGAAAAGGAATAAAGCCATTGAGAACCTGCTAAATGAAATAATAGTTGAAAATATCACAGGTCTTGAAAGAGACATGGGCATCCAGATAAAAGAAGCTCAAAGAACCCCAAGCAGGCTCAACTAAAAAAGGTCTTCAAAGCATATTGTAAAGTTGTCAAAAGTTAAAGACAAGAGAGAATCCTAGATACAGTAAGAGAAAAGCATCAAATTACACATAAAAGAAAAATAATTATATTAACATCAGATGTCTCAGTGGAAGCCTTACAGGCCAGAAGAGAATGTGATGATATGGTCAAGATACTAAAAGAAAATAAAAACTTCCAACAAAGAGTATTATATCCAGCAAAGACATCCTTTAAAAGTGAAGAAGAAATAAAGCATTTTCCAGATAAGCAACAACTGAGAGAATTCAGCTCCACCAAACCAGCCCTACAAGAAATTTTGCAGGACATCCTGCATTAGGAGTAAACATGAAAACACGTGACATCACCAAATTTACTAAGAGAATCATTATCCAGTCAACAGAATGACAGGTCTTAGTTCTTACCTATCAATACTAACTTTGAATGGAAGTAAATAAATTCACCAACCAAAATACTTAGTTTGGCTGAATGGATAAAAAACCAGGGCTTTACTATATGCTGCATTCAAGAAACTCAGTTCACAAAGATACACACTGTGTGAAAGTAAAGCATTGGAAAAAGAAATATCAGGCAAATGGAGACCAAAAGTGAGCAGGCCTGCCAATCCTGATATTAGATAAAACAGACTTTAAATCAAAACCGGCAAAAAGAGATAAAGGACATTATATATTGATTAAAACATTCAATTCAGCAAGAAGGCATAAAATAATGTGTGTGTGTGTGTGTGTGTGTGTGTACCCAACAGAAGACCATGCAGATACATACAGAAAATACTATTAGACCTAAAGGGAAAAATAGACCCCAATTCAATAATAGTGGGCATGTTCAATCCCCCATTCTCATCAATAGACAGATCATCCAGATAAAAACATCAATAAAGATACATTAGAATTGAAACATGTTTTCAGGCAAATGGACCTAACAGACATTTACAGGATATTTCAGCCAACAGCTACAGAATACACATTCTTCTCATAGGCATATGGAACATTTTTTAGGATAGGCCACGTGTTGGGCCACAAATCAAGCCTGAAATCATACCATGTATCTTCTCAGACCAAAAAGGAATAAAATCAGAAATCAATGACAAGAACAATAGAACATTCATAAATACTTAAAAGTGAACAACATGCTACTGAAAATCAATGGGACATTGAAGAAATTAAAAAGGAAACCAAAAACTTTTTAAAAAATGCTTATTTATTTATTTGAAAGGCAGAGTTAGAGAGGGAGATAGAGAGAGGGAGATGGGGCCAGTGCTATGGCTCACTTGGTTAATCTTCCACCTGCAGCGCTGGCATCCCATATGGGTGCCAGGTTCTAGTCCCGGTTGCTCCTCTTCCAGTCCAGCTCTCTGCTGTGCCCCGGGAAGGCAGTGGAGGATGGCCCAAGTGCTTGGGCCCCTGCACCCGCATGGGAGACCAGGAGGAAGCACCTGGCTCTTGGCTTCAGATCAGTGTAGTTCTGGCTGTAGCGGCCATTTTGGGGGGTGAACCAATGGAAGGAAGACCTTTCTCTCTGTCTCTCTCGCTCACTAACTCTATCTGTCAAATAAGAAAGAGAGAGAGAGAGAAATCTGAAGATTAATTCCCCAAATGGCTGCAATGGCCAGAGCTGGGGCCATCTGAAACCAGGAGCCAGGAGCTTCTTCCAGGTCTCTCATGTGGGTTCGGAGCTAAAGCACTTAGACCATCCTCTGCTGCTTTTCCTGGCACATTAACAAGGAGCTGGATCAGAAGGAGCAGCCAAGACTAGGATCAATACCTGTATGGGATACTGGTGCCACAGGCGGAGGCTTTACGCACTACACCACAGCACCAGCCCTCAAAAACTTTCTTGAAATAAAAACGGAAATACAGCCTATCAAAACCTGTAGGATACAGCAAAAGCAGTATGCAATTACATAGATTGTCAATATTGAAGCACTAGTGGGCTAGGCTTCCGCCTGTGGTACCAGCATCCCATATGGGCACTGGTTAGTCCTGGCTGCTCCTCTTCCAATCTAGCTCTCTGCTAGAAATAGACTTGCCATATGATCCAGCAATCCCACTACTGGGTATATACCCAAAAAGACTTGAACACAATGTATGAAAGAGATACCTGCAGCACCATGTTTACAGCAGCACTATTCACAAGAACCAAAATTTGGAATCAACCAAGGTGTCCATCACCAGATGAATGCATAAAGGAAATGTGATGTATATAACACAAGGAATATTATTCAGCTATAAAAAAGAATGAAAATTCTATCATTTGCAGCAAAATGGAAGCAAGTGGAAGACATCATGTTGAGTGAAATAAGCTAGATCCAGAAAGTTAATTAGCACATGTTCTCCCTTATATGTGGGAGCTAAAATCTAAAAACCAAACAAAAAAGAAAAAAGAAAGAAATGTCTGTGTATATCAGTACTGCTACAAATATAGGTTTGTTTGCTTTATATCTTTGTCAAACCAATGGTTAACAATGTTGTACTACTATAGTTTTAATGATCTGGGATTACTTTAAAGTTTACTATATATGGGTGTAATGGTCATTTTTCCATTTAATTATTGTTTATAGCTCTTATCTGTATTTCTAGTGGACTAGGGTGTTTTTGCTTTTAACTGATTAAAGTTCTTATTCAGTGAAATATTAAACTATTAAATTAAAAACACAAATCAGTCATGATAAACTTAATGATCCTTATCTAGAAATATTATGCAGTATTATCAAAATCTGAAAGTCTTAGTGGCTTAGTAAAATAAAAGTTTATTTTTTAGTTATGCAAAATTAACTGAAGTTTAGGGTAATTGGAGTAGTAGCCCAGTATTTCTGGCTTCTTTTTTTTGTGGCAATTATCTCATTGAGTGCTTCTGTAGGAGAATAGATCACTGAAGAAATTTGTACCAGCAATCAAATGTTTTGGTTTAGATGTGATATTTGTCACTTCTTTGAACAATCTATTGACTAGAACTGCCAGATGCCTGCTACCCACCATGCTTACAACTCCTGTAACCACCCTACCAATTGCAAGGAGTTGGACTGTGGAAAAACCATCCCCTGTACTAAGAAGAGAAAGCAATGCACTTAGAAAGCACCACCATGCTTTCACTGATTTTACCTAAAACCACTTTTGGAATCCTTTTATAGAATAAAGGAACTGTGTTTTTCCCCTCTACATGATATCAATTACACAAGAGTACAGAATATTTCAACTTTCTCTATATCTCAATTTCCCACATCAATATACTGAATGTTATCTACTTTCCATTTTAAATTTGAAAACTATTTCCTGTAAATATGGGTTTATAGTCAGGAGATTATAACTATTTTTTTTTTGACAGGCAGAGTAGACAGTGAGAGAGAGAGACAGAGAGAAAGGTCTTCCTTTGCCGTTGGTTCACCCTCCAATGGCCACCACGGCTGGTGCGCTGCGGCCGGCACATCGCGCTGATCTGATGGCAGGAGCCAGGTGCTTCTCCTGGTCTCCCATGGGGTGCAGGGCCCAAGGACTTGGGCCATCCTCCACTGCACTCCCAGGCCACAGCAGAGAGCTGGCCTGGAAGAGGGGCAACCGGGACAGAATCCAGCGCCCTGACCGGGACTAGAACCTGGGGTGCTGGCGCTGCAAGGCGGAGGATTAGCCTATTGAGCCACGGCGCCGGCCAGGAGATTATAACTATTATAATAGAAAGTTTTAAAATAATACAGCCAAGGACAGCTTTATTCCAAATATCCAACATTTTATTGGGTATAAGAGGACTTGTCTCTTGCATATCAGGATGATGTGAGTGACTGCTCCCATGTTCTTGATCTGCATTTCCTCTTGGGAAGGCTCCTGTCTCTTTTTTTCTCTCTTGAAAACAGGTGTTCTTCACTAAGGTAGTTTTCAAAAGATTTTCTTTGCAAAACTGGTCCATGTGAATCCATCAGTCATGAACTTGGCCTTCCTTAGCCATTATTTATAATAGAACTTATTTATATCAGTATATAAAATATTAAGTCTAGTACAAAAGTTATGAAAAATGAGGTATAAATAACATTATACTTAATAGTGCTGAGTGATTCTAGAAGTTAAATACAATACTGAAAAATACATGACTCTTTAGATAAATACAATACATTAGGCTCACAGAATACATTGGGCTCACAAAGTACATTGTTTCATTCAACTTCACAACAGTTGATCAATTTTTCCTGCAGTTGAACCAGCTATTAGCTTTCTGGAGAGTCAGAATTCTCTTCGTTTTAGGATCAAATTTGTATTGCCTTGTTCCATGAAAGAAATAGAAAAATCCTGAGGGAAAAAGATATTTATATATTATACAAGTAGCTTATAGGTTTAACTTGAATTCTTGAGAAAGTCAAGTCATTTGTGAACACAAATATTTTTGGCATTTGCTGCTCCAAGTAATAGTACTGATGCTATTACCATGGCAATGGAAAGGAGGAACTGTGTATATACACTTACCATCTTTCTTGAAAACAGCGTCAACCTTGTTTCCAATTCCTGGGAAGTCATATTCTATCATTTTGGGATAACCTGCATCCATAGATCGTTTATATTCATCATACCTGGTCAAAAAGAGGATTAGAAGTGTCATAAATGGTTGCTGAACATGCAGACAAACCAAGATCACTCAAAGGAATTCAGCAACTGGACTTTAACAACTTTTAATTCTAGAGATCGTTTGTAAAATGGGAGGTTGGATAAAGCAAGGTCAAATATTGAGGTCAAATATTGATGCATTACATTTACAAGTTCCCTCTGAAATCTAGTATCTAATGCTAAGATTCCACACTATTTCCTGTTAAGAAAAAATGTGACACTGGCAAAAGGATATTCTATTCAATAAGAGGCGCTGGGAAAACTGAATATTCATATGCAGATGAATCTTGATCCCCAACCCCCAGCTCTCACACTATACAAAAATCAATTCAAAATGGATTCAAGATATAATGAAATAACCAAAAATATGAACCTTCTTGAAGAAAACATAGGGGAAACACTTCAAGATGTTGGCATAGACAACAAATTTTAGGTAAGATCCTGAAAGCACAGGCAACAAAAGCAAAAATAGACAAATGTTTGTAAACTATGTATCTGACAAAAGATTAGTATCTAGAATATATAAAGAGCTAGAAAAACTCAACACCACTATCACCAAAAACTTCCAAATAATTCAGTTAAGAAATGAGCAAAGGATCTGAACAGGCATTACTTAAAAGAAAAAAATGCAAATGGCCAACAAGTACATGAAAAAATGCTTAGTGTCATTAGCCATCAAGAATATGTAATTCAAAGCCACTATGAAGTATCATCTCATTCCAGTTAAAGTGGCTTTTATAAAAAAGACAAATTCTGGTGAGGATGTAGAGAAGAGGAAATCCTTATATACCGTTGGTAGGAACATGAATTAGGACAGCCATTACGGAAAACAATATGGACATTTCCCAAAAAAATAAATAAACTTATTGTATGACTCAGTTATCTCAATTCTCTAGGTACCCAATTTTCTAGGCATATATCTGAAGGAAATACAACCCACATATGAAAGATATACCTGCATTCCCATATTTATTGTAGCTCTGTCTACAATAGTCAAGACATGGAATCAAACTAGTTAACCATCAACAAATAGATAAAAATTATATGTATGCAAAATGGACTTATTCAACCATAAGAAATAACGGAATACTGAAATTTGCAGAAAAATGAGTGGAACTGGAGATTATTTTTAAATGAAATAAAACAGATATAGAAAGACAAATACCACATGTTCTCTCCTATATGGGGACTTTTAAAAAATAATTGATTTGACAGTGATTACTAGAAATCGGGAAGGGTAGAAAGGAGTAGAATGATGTTGTTGAATAAGGGGTACCCAAACACATTCAGACAGAAGTAATAATTTCTAGTGTTCCATAGCACTTTGGAATGACTATAGTTCATAATAAATGTTTTATATACAATGCAGAGAACCAGAATAGAGGAGTTGGTAGGCTCCAAACACAAGATAAGGAAATGGAAAACTGAGTTGCCTGGTTTGATTGGTTTAGGCTGTGCATACATGTTGAGATACTGCACTGTATCCCATAAAAATGTACAAGCATTCTATGCTAATAAAAATATCTTAAACTAATATTAAAAGAAAGACAAAATGCTGTGCGAGGTAACAGGCAGCTCTCGGAAGAGGCATGCTTTCATTTCTACACCTTTTTTAACATCCAGACCCACATTCTCCCCAGATTCCCAGCACTGCCGTCCCAGGATCGTTGTTGGTCAGTAGAATAGATGAACGATAGACTGGCCACAGCTGTTCACAGAAAAGACAGCTGACTTTTTGAAATTTGTTCAATGTTGGGCTTTCTCTGTAGAAAGAACCAATGCCCTAACATTTTCTGCACTCTGTGTTTACCTCCAGTACTTGTTAGCAACAAAGAAGTATGTTTTTCCAGTATCCTCCTCAGAAACAGCAGCGTCAATATGATTCACACTTCTAGGGAAGCCAAAGGAGCTGTGAATGTCCTTGGGGTATCCTGGTAGCTCATTCTGCCCCTGCACAGTCCAGTACTTGTTACCTGCAATCAAGAAACAGAGATGAAACACAAGCCGAGGGCTCCAATAGATGATAAATGGCTTTGCAGGGTTGGGGCTGTGGCATAGTAGACTAAGCATCTGCCTGTGGTGCCGGCACCCAGCGTGAGTGCCAATTCATGTCATGGCTGCTCCTCGTCTGATCCAGCTCTCTGCTATGGCCTAGGAAAGCAGTAGTATTTGGGCCCCGGCACTCCCATGGGAGACCCAGAAGAAGCTCCTAGCTCCTGGCTTTGGATCGGCCCAGCTCAGGCTGTTGGAGCCATTTAGGGAGTAAATGGATGGAAAATGTTTCACTCTGTTCTTTTGCTCTCTCTGTAACTCTACCTCTCAAATAAATAAAATCTGTTTAAAAAAATCAAATAAACAGGTTTGCAGCTGAGTTCTTAATGTCAGCTGCTAGTGTGGTAGCCTAGCTACAGATTAGAATCAGCTGGAGAGATTTTTGAGCCTATTGTTGAGATCCCATCTCAGATCAATTAAATGATTACAGTTTTTGAGGCTGCCTAGGTGATTCTCATCTGCCACCAGCTTTGAGAATGACACATTTATGGGATGGCGGGGGCAAAGCCAGATGTGCAAAGAGCCAGTCCACCACGCCCTCTCAGTGATAGAAAGCTCACTTCTCCAGGTAGCCCAGGCACTGTGGAAGTGCACACAACGTTGAGATCCAAAAGGAGAAAGCATTTTAATGATTCACAACCTGTAATGTCTTGCAACCCTGGGTTTGAATCATTACATCTAAATATTGGAATTTATGCTGTGTCCAGATTCTGTATGCTTATTATACTCAGGCATTCACACATCACAATTCTGAAGCTGGGATTGTTCTCATTGCACAAATATGGTTATTTCACCTTCAGTAAAAGATAGGAGTGCTGCTGGATTGTGTGCATCTGATATTTTACTTAATTTCATGATACGAAGTCTAAAATTCTAAGGGGTTTTGCCCAGCTCAATTACATTTTTTTTTTTTTTTGCTTTTAGTGCATGACTCACTCAAGTGCCTTAATGTTTGCATGTCCTATGCCAAACACATATTTACAAAAATATTTTTGTTTGGCATAGTGTCTTCAAAGCCTAGAACCTATCATTGCACTGTGTTTCCTTCTGAGAGAAGTTTGTCTGATTCACAATAACCAGGAATTCTCATACTTTCACATATATAAGAATTGCCTAGAAAGCCTGTTAAAATTCAGACTCTGTCAAAGAGCACCTGCAATGGGTTGCGAGATTCTGTATGTAACAAACTGACCCTTGATGCCGACTCTGCTGATCTCTGGGCCTCAGCCTTGATAGCAAGGCTGCAGCGCCCCCATCTGACTGCCTGGTGGTGCTGTCTCTCATTTATGTTTCTTAGTAAGATAGGATTGAAGAACGTAAACAAATATAAATGATCTCTTTCTGTTCTGTCCTCTGTAGAATTGGACCAAGTCTCAATTTTATTCCTGAGCAATTTCAGGAATAGAGATGATTTTAAATACATAAATAATTTGTACAGAACACACTTTCACAAGTCTCAATTCATAAATACGCCAGAAGGTTTGTATCTCCAATTTTTGTCTTCAATTAAAATGACTCATAAACTCATGATGTAACTTTTAATTAAGCTTATGAGTTCCCACTGATCTGCTTGGTGAAACTCAGATTTTCAAAAAGCCACAAAGAGGATTTAGCTAATGCCCTTATGGCTTAGCCCAAAAGTGGATGAAAATTAACCCATAAAAACAGTAAAAAATGATCAAAATATTACCTTTGAAAAACAGAATTTCATCTCTATGGGCAACTTCATAAGCAGCTTGAAGTCCATTAGGCAGATGTGGCCAGAAAACAGAGATGAAATTGAGCTCAACTTCTGAGTAGTAGGGATTTGCCCGCATGTAGAACCTGATTTGAAAAAAAAAAAAAAAAAGAAAAAAAGAAAGAAAACAAAGGCTTAGATCTAATGACTAGTAATCCCTGGCTGACATCCAGCCCTTATTTTTGTGCTGGTACATGTTTATCATCTGCTCTGCAAGGAGGGTGGGGCTTGGAAAATCCCGGTTTGCAGTATTTGCATATTTCCTTGGTGGAAATACTCCCAGTGTGGTGAATCAAGAGTCACAGTAGAGGACCATCATATAGTGTTTCTACCATATGATATACTAGACATCAATGACCTCAAGAATATAAACAATATAGTGTAGTACAATAATTACAATGATAAGTTTTGATTATTTTTGCTACTTTTGGTTTTAATAGAATTTAATTTTATGTGTATAATGTAATTTATGATAATGACGGGGGTACACCAACAATTTGCAAAGTTCTTCAGAATTTAACAGCTGGCTTTGGTGAGCCATTAGGAGCTAGCTGTGGTGCAGTCTTTGCTGGAATGCAGCAGCAATAAATGGGTCATCCTTAGAGAGCACTTACAACACGCCAGGGCCTACCCCTGCATCATGTCTTTTCAGAAAATAGCTACGAGACAGGATTACTCCTGTCTCAGAGGTGAGACTCGAAGTCAGGGGAGCTGTGGGAGTTGTCTAAGGCTACCTGCTGATAAGAAGCAAGAGTGAACTTTAAACTCAGCCACACCCTTTGCCATACTTCAGTTAGTAGTAAATAAAGTTGACTCTACAGGTTTTAGGGTACAGCGCAGTGTGATGTCATGGGGGATGACAGAATTCTCTGGAGTCCTAGCCATGAGGAAGACTTTGACCTTGATGCTGAGAAGCCTGACTTGTAGGTCTTGTCCTGCCTCTGCTGGGCTACGACCCTTGCAAGTCAGTCACTAGCTCTTGCTTTCCACATCTTCCGGTTGTGGAGACTTCGACCTGTTCCTTGGAGTAATCCTCTGAATACTTGCTTTGATAGGTGTGTCCTGCTATATGGAGAGCTCTCCTTTAAAAACATGTGTTTCCTTAACAATTCCCAGCAGTGAACTATATCCTGTATGGGGTAATCCTGCCTTATCTTTTATATTCAAACACGGTAAAGAAGAGGATGGAAGGCATCATTAGATGATATCCTGCATTCTGGGACAGATAGGGCTGCAAAGTAGTAAAACAGCACCAACATCACTCTACAAAGAGAGCCTGAGGAGGAGGGAGCCTCCCAGAGGGCCCTTGCTTCCTGTGTATTGATCTTTCTCTCTGCCAAATTCCCTAGGAATCAATGGTAAGAGCAGCAGGCCTGCTCCTTGCAGGCGAGAGGACCCCTACCGCTTCAGTGCACAGGGTCCTCCACTGAGGAGGGAAGCACCACCTTGTGCTGTCCCATCTCCCAAGGGGCATCTCATGGAATGTCACGGGGGTTCTCCCAGCAGTGGCGCCTTCCCTGCTCCTCTCCGAGCCTCCAGAGGGCAACAGAGATCCTTACGGTCTCAGGCTTCGGGAGCACGGAAGGGGTGATCCTTAGAGAGTGGCAGCTTTGCCATCCTCAGTGCAATGGTGCTGTGGAAAGGGCTGATTACATACCATCATAAACAGTCTGAAGTCAAAAGAGCTTGGGAATTGGGTTAAAAGACCAATAAATGGTAGTTTCTGAGAGTCGAATGACAATATGTGAAAACAAAGTTGGTTTAAGTACATTGTGTTGTACAAATGCAAGAAATCATTACCATATAATTATAAATGTAAACAAATTAGAATAATACATGAAGCATATTAATGGCTGATGGTAGTGAATATTGTTATCATTACAAATGAAGAACATAAAGAAAACCTGATGTCTTACCTGTCTTTAAAGAACATTATTTCTCCCCGAATTGTGGTTATAGCATCAAAGGTCAGTTTACTATCACACACTTTTGGGGTCTGTGGGCCTACTGGCTGACTGGGATTTTGGGAAGGTCCTAAAGAAAATAAGAGACCTAGATTTAGTTTTTCTTAGTATTAGAAAACTACATAAACATTGAAAAACAGCTTGTTACAGGATACAGCTAGTGACTGTTTTATTTGGAACAGGTGTAAAGACTAGTAGGCCCTTGTCCACGATATTTTTCTTTAAACTTACCATATATGGCTTGGATGCCATCAATGTCATCCTGAGCTAACTGAACATCACCACTGAACATATAGTTGGGGTACATCAAAGCCCCAATATCAGTAGAATGGGAGAGTCCAAGGGAATGGCCCAGTTCATGAGCTGCAACACGATACAGGTTGTAATCTAAAAGAGACAACAAACCCACTTGTATTAATGTCAAATGCAGTCAATTTTAAGGCATTTAATTAGGAAGTAACCTACAACTTCACAAAGATTTATGCTCATACTTTGTCAATGAATTTTTCAAATAAATGTATGTTTTTTCTGCGGGTGGAAAGTATGCATTTATTAATAGTAAAGTCTAAAACCAGTGATTATATCAACAAAATTAAAAAACAAACTCATCTGAGAGTCTAGCATGATTAGTCAATCTTAATGAATAGATGGTATAATTTCATTGAGAAGCAATACATTTCTATTAACACTATTTATTATTTACAAAACTGATAGATAAATAAAATGAACAAATTTGGAAAACACAAAAGTTATCTCTCTTCATTTCCATAAAAGCTATACCACTGTTAAATTTTGTTGTATCCTTCCAGGAAAAAAGATTCCATAAAGATGTATGCAAGAGAGACATTCAAGTTTTCAATGTTAATGTTGAAATAGAAATTTTAGAGTGCCCTATTTGTCACTCATGCAATGTTATATATAAAGGAATAACCTCACGTTGTTAAATATATCATTAATTTTCCAAGTGGTAGCAGAAAATACATAGTTCTATTACTGTGTTCTTTCTACTAAGCTGGTCAGCATTACCTGAATCATGAAATAGTGGGGCAATAAGAGAAGCAAACTTGGTTGACTTACTTCTGAAATCTTTGGTCCACCTGTCATCTTCATCAAAATGAACATCCCCTCCAATGCCCAGGCCTGGTTGAAAAGCATGAGCTAGCTGTCCTTCAGGTCCATCAAAGGGAGAATTGTCACGATGATCTACAAGAAAGAGGATGCAACAAAGGTCTCTTAGTTCCTACTTTGGCTAATCCAGGAGGGCAAGCAGCAGCTTTGTTAGAAATCCAGCTGACTTTCATCAAATGCAGTGCAGCCCCCTCCTGGAGCTCATAAAATTAACAGTCCTTTTAAAGAAGGAATTCCAGCTGTGAGACTGGAGAGAATTAGGAAGAAGCTGAAGTTCGGGTGAGAAAACCATCCTTCCAGAGAAAGAGCTTACCTCCCCTGACAAAGGATATCATGATGTCTGCTTGACCCTTGGAGACTTTGGTGAATGTCAGGGGTGTGACATTACTCCAGAGTTGAAAAGCTTTCTCAATGGCATTGTCCACATCTGCCCTTGACAGGTCTGGTGTGTAATTTTCAATCCTTACAATGAAAGAAAACAGAAACACATTAGACCTTTTTTCTTAGGCTGTAGGAAGAAGCAGCACTCTCGTTTTGGTGTTCAGCCCGATTACCTGTAAGTCAGATGTGTTTGTTCCCAACGAGGGTTCCCTGGAGTGAGGACGAACTGAGCCACATCAGGCACTCCACACCTGGGTTGCTTCATCATCTTCAGGGTTTCAGCATCTGGCTTCCCAGTCACTTTCAGCCCAAAGAATTCCTGCATTTGCTTCAGCTTCTCAACTGCTAGGCCATTGCCTCTCTGCTTTGGAATTTTCCTCCAATCATCCTTCAGATTGTAGTAGTTTTCCAGGTATTTCTGATAAAAGACAAAATGATTGAAACGCTGGATAGGAAATCGTTCTCATTTCCTAAAAATTGACGCATGAAGTTTTAGGCAAAATAGAAGACTATGTTTAAAGTGTTTTCACACAAATACTTTTTCTTATTTTAAATTTATTTATTTGAGACAAGAATGCGCATACTTCTATCTACTGCTTCACTCCCCAAATGCCTGCATTGGCCAGGTCTCAGCTGGGGCCAAAGCCAGGAGCTGCAAACTCCATCCAGGTCTCCCACATGGGGTTAGGGACTCTGTTACTGGAGCCATCACCTGCTGCCTCCTAGGGTAAGCATTGGCAGGAAGGTGGAGTTAGGAACTAGAGCTGGGAATCCGATGTGGAGAGTGGGTATCTTAATCACTAGGCTAAATCCCCATTCAGAGAACTACACTTTTGTTTAAATTTCATATTCCTTATTATCTTTATCATTGGTGGAAAAATGCAGCTTCAGAGTAGAAATTTTCCTACCGTTTGTTACTATGAAGTCAGAGCATCATAGTAGAGCCAGATTTGTAGAGGGAGATGGGCAAACTGCTGCAAATCTATAACTTGTAGAGCTAGATTTGCATTCTGCTCCTTTAGTTCCCTCTTATGTTCAACTCGACAAGGAGAGCCTATCTATGTATAGATACATATTTTGGAAGACTACTGTTTCTGGCAAAAAAAAAATCTTTTTCTAGGAAATCCATCCTTACATAAGTTTCGCTGTACTACTGTGTAAAAATGCAAAGCAAGGACATGCATTTCTGGCATGTGTAATGCAGTATTTACCTGGACCATCTCCACATCTTGCTCTTGTGTTTCTGAAGCTGCTGGGAAGCCATGGGAGCCCACTCCCCAGAGCAGTAGCAGCAGCAGAGGCAAGCCGGGCATGCTGGTGTTTGTCTTCCTTCTCAGTGCAGGGCAACCACGGGCTCCCTACCTGCTAGCAGCCTCACTGCATCCTCTAGGAACCTCCTCCTTTATATGCCAGTCCTTGCGCTTTTACAAAGCTGAGGGCTGTGTGACTCATGCTTTATAACATCCTCTTGATTAACAATGAATAGCCTGAGCAATCATCAGACATGGTGAGTCCCGGCAGATTTTTTTGGGTTAGCTTGGTGTTGCAATTTCATGATTAATATCAAACAGGACGTGGTGTAGGAGACACGCTCCACCATGTAAACAGTTGTTTTCTCCATTTCATTTCCATCCTATTTGAGAAATGCTCCCCTTACATATACTGGCACAGAGTACTCCATGGCCTTTAAAAAAAATGGATTTCCTTGCTTGATTCTGCTGGTTGTCAAGTGTTCCTGTGGTCTGCACACACCTGGCACCCAGGGTAGACGGTAAACTTAAGAACCTTGTGTGCTTTTGGCTGTTTAGCACCTGTCCTGACAGAAAGTCAGTCCCTCAGACACTCCCTGTAAAATGGCTCCTGGGGGTTCTCTGAGGTTCCCTTCTGTATTCGCCAAACTACGGGATAGCTTACTGCAAGAGTGCCATGCTTCCCCTAATCGCTATTCAGACCTAGAATTTGAATGAGGTATGGGACGGCTCCCTGTCTCTGCTGACCCTGCCCATCAGCATCATGGGACCAAGAGGATCCTTCTCTGAAGCCTGTCAGAATGTAGGAGGTGCAGCAGAGGGTGCCGACAGACCAAGCGTGACTCTGGAGTCTTATTTTTAATCATCTTGTTCCCTTTGATAAGAATACATCTTTGCTTTTGGGGACTAGGTGAAATGTATGAGAGGTCATTGAAAGATACATGAAAATGCATATTATGAAAAATCAGTGCATGGATTTCCATGAACTTCCTGGTGCAGTCTCATATTTGTTCTTTCACGCATGCAATCATTAATTTCTTTGTGCATGCCTTCATTCAAAGGTTCTAAACATCTCCTCCTACGGAATGGAAGATGTATACTCGTGTAATTGTGCTCCACACCAAATTGTCTTGGGTGCCACCGGTGTTATCCATACCACCCTTGGCAAGAACAGTCTGTCTCCGTAGCTTCCTTTAACAGGCCTCACACTGCTTCCTTGGAAGTGCTTAAATCAGACACAATGTTGAGAAGCACTTACCTCCATTCTTCAAGTTTAGCACCTTATGGTGCTTTCCCGGGAATCAGGTTTGCTTTCTCAGGATTTTTCTTCCCTTATGGATTTCTGCTTTCCCTACCATGCCAAGAGCCATATCTTATGCATAAGTAATGTTTCCGCATATCCTAGATTGTGTTTAAAGAACTCATTTTTCTCTAATCATTTAAGCACAGCTTCCTTCTCTATATGGAGTGATATGTGTGTGAGAGAGTAAGAGGAATTGGCAGAAGCTCTTGCAAAAACCAAAGTTGCTTCTTCTCATGGGAATCAGAGGGACAGCAGGGTGGAAACTGAAGAACACTAAGATTGAAGGGACTCTATGCAGGCAAGGAAAGTAGTGACAGGAGCTCTTTCTGTTAGAGGCTGAACACAGACTGTTTTGAAAGTCAGGAGGTGGTAGATACACTCTGACTATTGGGGAACTGGTCAGTGTGAAGAGGTTGCCCCCAGCCAGCTGGGGCCTAGGGAACAAGAGTCACTAGGTTAACTCAAGACAGCAGCATATGACCATCTGGGATTGGGCAAGAAACTGCACAGTTATCACTCTGAAAGAGTCTCTTAGAATGTCTGATCCGGGAAGCATTTACATCTTCTGTTCTAGAACTCTTCAAGCTTTTATAAACTGTTGTATTCTTGACTTAAACAAAATCCCTTTGGAGAAGCCAGTTTGTAAATCAGATTAAAATGGAATTTCTCTGGTGGAAGTTGGAAGGGGGGCTTTGACTCCCATTCACACCAGGCCCATACGGGCTTTCTTCTCTTGCAGAACCCACCATTTTCTGCTTATCTGAGTCCCAAGCTATTACCTTATTTGCTCAAAGTGTTTAATTATAAAAGGATTATTGACATGGCTTGAAAATCAGTTCCTTAAAACAACTTTTCATTAAATCTCTTCCTCATATGGGAGACCCGGAAGAAGCTCCTCACTCCTAGCTTCGGATTGGCCCAGCTCTGGCCATTGCAGCCATTTGGGGAGTGAACCAGCAGATGGAAGACCCCGCTCTCTCTCCTCTCTCTCTGCCTCTCTTTCTTTTTATGTGTAACTCTGACTTTCAAGTAAGTAAATAAATCTTTAAGAAAAAATGTAAAAAAAAAGAGAGGCAAACAAAGAGATCTTCCATCTACTGGTTCACTCTTCAAATGCCTACCAACAGCTGGGGCCAGGCCAGGTCAAAGCCAGGAGCCCAGAACTCAATCTTAGTCTTTCATGTTGGTGGTGGGAACTCAAGCACTTGAACCATCAGCTTCTGTCTCTCAGAGTGTGATTTAGCATAACGCTAGAATTGGAAGCAGAGCCGGGACTTGAACTCCAGCACTTTAGTACAGGATGTGGGCATGTCAACAGCTGTGCCAAACATCTGCCCCAACAGAGAATTTAAAATTAAATGTTTGTGAAGCTGTCAGTCTCATAGATTCACATGGTCCTAACCTTGAAATTTCCAGTTAGCTGTTCATAGCAAACCTTCTAATATAATACATGTAACTTCTGAGCTAGTGCTAGGGTGTAACTTATTTGGAAGTAAAAAAAGAAAACAAAAGTCTGAAACAGAAATTGGAGATTAAGCCCGACCAGATCCTTCTAATGCCTGGACTTAGTGTAGCTCCCAAGAAGCTAGAAAGATGTTAGAATTGTATTTACTCTTCATTTCCAGATGAATTTTCAAAATATGTAAGTACCTTTTCCCCCAATAATTCCCTTTTGATGGGGATTTTGTGGAAATTATTCCTCTATTGCATTTCCCTGAGAGAATATCAGGCTTAAGAGAGCTCTTGTGAGTGTGGCTGTGTCAACTGACTCCTGACTATTTCCAAGCAGGCAAATTATTTCCATGTTTTTCTTGGTTGCTTCATGCCGCTGCTGTGTAAGAGGCCTCAACTATGTTGGTGTTTTTCCATATTCAATTCTGTCTTGGAATTTCAGTCTTGCCTCCCTTTCTCTTGACTTGGAAATTCAGCTTTTCTAACTTTATAGCTTCATTTGAGCACCTTTTTTCTATTTCTTTTTGTCCTACAAGTTTTAAATGATCTTTAGCCAGAAACTTTAAACATTTAATGTCGTTTTGTCTTGAGAATTAAGGGAGAAAAAATTAATCCCACTTTCCATATTCTCCCCATATATGGGCACATGGCACTTTTATGGATAACGCTATGTGTGAGACAATTAAACAGATACCTGATACACACTGTTACTTTAGTCCTCATGGTTACCCTCCAGGTGGAAACGATTGGCCCATCAGTCTTGAGTCCTTGGTCATATGGCAGATAAGTGGTAGAGTCACTTGTTGAATTACAGGTCATTGAGACTCCAGTCCAGGCATCTCTCTCTCTCTCTTACAAACACACACACACACACACACACACACTGGGTATGGAAAGGTTGCTTCCCTAACAGAACGACAATGTCTCCAGACCTTAGGATTATTATGTTAACTTGCTCTTGTCTACAGTGAAGTCTTCGTACCACCACCTTGTCCCTCAGGTCTGAAAGAATCTTCCCTTCAAAGTACCACTCAATTTCCCTTATTTCCTTCAAAAAGTTCTTGAAATTGTAATTATTCTTACTACCTCAATTTAGTAGATTTGGGGAGATGATTCTTGAATGACCAAATGAATAAATTGATGCTTAAATAAAAGAACTATTTCTTATTAGGCTCAGTTGTCTGCAGAAGTCCTATGTCTGTGGTTAGGCTTTTATTTCTTCCACTCTCTGAGGTCTAAAATTATTTAAATTATCACAGGAAGAATTTGCACGTATTCACTGACTTGATCTTATCTGCGATCTTGGATATTACATGCAGAAAGGAAATAATGCGTCATCCATTTCTTTATGACATAATGGAACTGACAGGTACTTGTAAACTGGATGACTACACATTACAGTTGTTACCTTCTAAACTTTAAGACAGTCTGCGTGATCAGGCACTATGTAGCAATAGAAGTTAAATGGAGGGATTCACTGATAGCCTATTTTCTTAGCCTATAGTTAGTGTTTTCTTGAGCTAATTGAAGAACTATTTCCTTAGACTACTAACCAAAATTCTATAAAGATATTACAAATTCTACATATTTTTATTTATTTATATTCAATATGTAAATTGGTTGAAAATGTAGAATTATCAAATGAACACAGAAACAGAATATAGAATTGGAAACAGCATTCTGGTGTGAAGAAGCAATCTGATTTTTTATGTAAGGAAGACTTGGATTCAAAATGTATTTTGTAACTTATTTTGACCTGTAATCTTAGGTTTCTCAACCTCTCTCATATTCTGTTTTTTCATATATTTGGTGGAAAGAGAAATATTAAGATCTTCCATAACGGTTTGAGGATAGTTAAATCTCCAAATGTAATGTGTCTAATGCTTATCACAAAATAGATGCTTGATGAATGTTAATTCCACCTACTGAGAAAAGATACGTAAAGCCATCTACTATAACCCTCTCACATTGGACATGGGCAAAGTGAACCCCTGAATTCTCATTTGTTTTCATTGCATTAGAAGCAAAACTGCTAGAACTGTGGTTCAAGTGTCTTGATAAAAATGCTTCAATACACTCAATATTGTTACTAGAGGATTATCTGTCATGCGAACTAAACATAATTCTTGAGGAAATTATATTTATGCAGTGGATTAAATCAACCCAACTGGAACACAATTTCTTGTTAAACACACATCATAAACCAATACAACGAGTTACCAACTTAATTAATTTTGGAATCTTACCAGCAAAGCTAACATGTTGTAAGGTGTTATATCATCATCATGATCACCATTATTTTCATTATCATGAGCTAAATGTGAGCCTAAGAGTAAATGCAAAGATGACATATTCCTTGGCTGTATAAATCATGGCCCAGAAGTCATGTTAAACATGTG